CCTATATCCTCCTATCATGCCTTCCTTGTCACAGTTTTTATCGTGCTTATTCTTAATGTAGTGTCGTGTGCTCCTTCGAGCGGCATTCATGAAGACCTTTCGCACTCCACACTGTCCTTATCACCCCCTTGACCCTTGTGCTGAGAATGTTGACCAGAGTCTGCCACTGTTACGTAGTCCTTCCCTGGGTCCTATCAAAGTCTCCCTCTTGCCTCCTCGAATCCTTCTGCTATCTCCCTGGTACATGTATTTCACTCGGCCCCTGCCCCCACATCTGTGCTATTCGAAGCGTGATTCGTCCATCCCCTGCACCTGGGTGACTAATTCGAAGATAAAGCCTCTGAGTAAGTCTTATGGTCATGCCTATTCTACATGGTCAACATCTCTTGTAAAACCTATTGTCAGCCAACTAGCTCCACTCGCCGCCTCGTCTATCCTGTCTCGATTCCTAATACCAAGTATATGACTTGACGAGTTATCGCCTGGTTCTAAGGATTGCTCCTCTCACTGACGATGCTTTCTACAATGTCAGCGAAACGTGTATGAATTTGACAATGTTAGAAACTATCATGAATACCAGAAGTAGGACTGAGTATTTTCATTTAGGTCATATCGACTCAAAGATGTTTTAAGCCGAGTTTTATCTCAAATACTTGGTATTTACTAGATTTCCCGACTAAAGCTAGGTAAATCAGAACGCATACCAAAAATAACGTTAAAAGCAGCAGTTTGGACCTAGCTAATAAGGATGATTTTCTTAAGCTATGGATTATGGCCTATGGTTTAGGAGAGGCTATATATGAAATAATAAAGACGAATTCATTATATAGCGTATATATAAAATTAGCTCAGAGGATTTTGTATTCGTGGGTGACATTGAGTAAAAATAGTTTTGCCAAATTTCGCTAAGATAAATTTATCAAGGCTGAGTTTTTATGAGTTATGCGAAAGAGCATAGTGATGTGTAACTGTACCCTAAGGCAAGAAACCTGTCCGGCTGCAATTCTACATACTCTGGTGGCATGAATTTGCCCAAGAGCTCTGGTCACCCTTAGTTGCGGGTTGTGGTGTTAGCTAACTTCTTCTAGTGATGAGTAGGCCTCACGCTGACTTAGTTTCTAATAAGAACTTAGTTAGAGAGGTATTCATTTCGTATGAAATTGCCTAAACGTTGTGTATGTGGATTTCATTTCATGAATATTTATAATTCATGTTAAGTTAAAGTTTATCTTAGTTTCTTGTTTGGTCTATTTCGGTCATTTAAAAATCCTGCCCCAATACTAGGACAATGGAGTTAGACCTTCTGATCGGTCTACAGTTTCAAAGCTTAATCCTGTTTTTGTCAAACCACACGGCACGTCGACGGCTGCAAATTCAAGTTTTCTGACTGATGGTGCCTCAGCTTGCCTACTGACCACTGCTGACAAGGCCGAAGCGCTCGGATGGAAACCCAAATGTTATTTACGTGACTTTATTTATGTTAGCCAAGACCCCAAGGATCAGCTATTGTTGGCTCCAGCCTACGCGATTCCTCGGTATGAATTTATATATACTTTTATTTATTCTATTTATACATCTATTTATACATCTATCTAAAGGCAAGCATTCCAATTCCTATTATCATCTTTCCAACTAGGTAGGCTTCCCGTTTCCGAATTCCTTTTCCACAAATTAGATAAATGTTTCGACTTTTTGCACAGTGAAAAAAAACCTTCAATCTTGCTCACTCACTACATATTTTTTGCTCTAGTATTCTGATCCATTTTAGTGGTTAATCTGTTTAGCATGCGATTGATTAGTTTAATAAAAATTCTCTAAAATTTTACATTTCGAGGGGTTAATAGGACAGAAGACTGTTAAACAATTCACATCTATATGCTTAAATACAAACGGTCTTGTAATCGATATTTTTCAAGGATCAGCATAAAATTTCATTTTAATTTCACTGGTAATATACAAAACGCGATTTAATATGCCACCTCTTCTCTGGGTCAACCCACTTCTTTAATATTGTTTCCTGGTTTGACCTCGTTTTCGCAAATGGGTCGGAACTACAAGAAGACATTGTGGATCATACCTAGTCTTGCGTTCTCTGCCATAGTCCTCACAATAAGGTATGGCATCGGACCGTTCACTTTTTTATTTCCCAGAAATTTCGCTGGCATTATATCCGGCACTTTTTATCACAATTACAACAAATTGGCAAGTAAATCAATCACCTTTTCTGTTCAATTGTTCTGTCATCTCCCCTACTGTCCTATCCTTTAGCACTATTTCTACCCCTCAAACACTTGATATGGACCATTTAGCTATCTGTTTCTTACTTTCCTCCGATGTCGCATGCATGTGCCACTTCATTTGGTATAATGAAGCGTAATCACTTATCATCGGCTTCAGATGCTATTCACGATGTTTGCTACCCAACCAGCTCTTCACCGAACTTGTCAGCTGTTCCCTGCTACGCATGAAAATCTCTGTCTAACTGGCTGGCTATAAACGATCGATTCTGTGACCTGTTTGCATCACATTCTAGGATTTTGAAAACTTATTTATACTTCTTGCTCTAGTTTATCCCCTTTCCCACTTCCACTCCATTCTCTCCCATTCCCTGCCTTTATTCTTAATCGCTAATATGGATATCGGCTGCTTCAATTCCCCATTTCTGAATCACGTAAAAAACTTTTGTCTCTTATTTTGACAATTTTGCATAATTATAATGTTCTGCTCTACTGTGAATGTGCATATTTGTTTATAATTACCCTTGTCAGGCATGTTCCTTGCGATCTTTCACTACATACAGACGCAGCCGACTGAAATTTTGCCCCCACCTTGGGTTTCACATCCAAGTTGATTTAAAATAGA